GCTGTCTTTGTAGTCTTAATGACTGGGATAAGTGCAGTAACTGTTGTAATGTGATGTTCAGTTCTCAGTGTGTTTAATAAACAGCCCTATGCTGTTGTGAAGAATGGTGTGATTGTTCTCTTAATGAAATTCCTAAAAAAGATTCTTCGAAAGTTCTTTAGGAAAGGGAATGGCTCTATTTAGAACCATGAGTTCTATATAGAACCATGCCATGACGGTGAAATGGTTCTTCAGAGTGATGGAGAATATGCTGTATATAGTTTATATATAGAACTATTTTGAAAATGGTTCTATATAGCACCAAAAGGGTTATTTTATTGTCATGAAGCCAAGCTTGTAACAATAGCAGAACCCTTCTTTGAACCATTTTCAAAATAGTTCTATATAAAACCATACACAACACATCATCCATTAATCTGAACAACCATTTCACCATTCAAAGAACCATTTAAGCATAAAATGGTTCTATATAGAGCTCATGATTCCATGAAGCTGGATAGATAGATTTGTGATGTTTGCTTATATGTTTACATGTGAAACTGAGGGTCCTGACACAGCTGTGGCTTCACATTAGAGCCCATTTGATCAGAAATACAGGGGCGCTGAAAGACTGTTCAAATACAGTAATTAACCATAGAAACAGAGTGAAGCATTATAATTCTAAAAAGCAGTATGAGTACTGTAAATAAACAGCAATTTACTACAGAAGAGATTGTAGTTTTACAGTTAATTTCTGTACGGTGTAGTAGTGCTAAATTTGAATAGAAATGTGGTTTTATGCTAGAGGCTAGACGGAGTATGTTTCTATAATTTTCCGAACACTAGATCTACATAATTCAATTGTTGAGATGTAAACAAAGTCATTCAGAGTGGTTCAATATGAAACTCGGCAACTTTAATTTCTTCACAATAGTGTTGATTGGACCTAAAAGTCATGATGCTTACAAAGGAAATATAGTCCTTTTATTTACTTTTCAAAAAGACCAGTGAACCTACACGTCTTCTGAGCTTTATATGCAATGCTGCTGATGGTAAAGTAGTGGTAAATCTAAAACAAATACATTTTTCTTGAGGACTATTTTGCCTTAAAATGCCCTGCATGTACTCAGACAACATATCTGTAACTATCTTGTGTATTAGCCTTTTCTGAGGGAGCTTTCAGAGGCACAAAACTCTTCAGATGTCTGGCTCCTATCACCAACACTGTGAACAATTCTGAGTTTCTCTAGAACGGAGCATTTCACACTAAACCGTTCTGAATGACTGTGTTTACATCTTAACTGTTTACTTATGCATACATTTTGAAAAATCAGTGGAATTCTTCTTTAAAGTCTCCTTTACATCACAAAGGGTTCTTTAGCTAACCAGAAGTGATTCTTCTACAGCATTGCTTCAAAACACTTTTTGGGCCCCCTTAATTTTCAGAGTGTATGTCTTTCCTCTAAGATTTGCTACTCACACAACATTATCAATTAAACATGCATGGTGCACATGCATTATTTGCAAGGAACACGAAGTGAGGTCATATGAGGCTTTCCGTCAGGGCTACAGTAGTAGCACCAATTCCTTGTAGAGTTCCATTTCCATATGGCCATATTCCCTGTGCTGCACTCCTCTCACTGAACAAATGCTCTCTTCTCTGAGTAAGAATGCTCTCTTTGAACTGGAACAGCATGGTTTCACAAATGAACCATCAGGATGCTATATTGTGTTCTCTTAAAGCTACTGTAATTCAACTGCAGTGTGATTCAGATGCTAGGCACCACATCCATTTACAATACATTCTTGATCCACTTTGTCGCTGTATATGCCATGTATAAGTTCCATACGTCTAAGTTTGTATTTATGGCTTGAGTAAACAAGTCCTCTGAGATTTCAGTCATATTTGGTCAAATTAGCAAAATGATAAAGAAACAGCAATAGAAAATTACAGTGGCTTATTATATTACTGTAGTTTTACTTGGATCAAATGCAATAAATAGAATTATGATCATGGCTCTGCTTCTGAATTTAAATGGGATTTCCACCTATTTTTCAAAATTTCTGCATAATCCAATAGTGGAGATGTAAACAAATCAGTTTAGACAGGTTTGATACGAAATGGTTCATTGTAGAGAAACTTACTGCCTCACATTTTATAATGGCAGTGAAAGGAACCTGGGATCATGTAATTTTAGCTACTATCCAAAACCACCAGTGAACCTACGTATGTCTACTGGGTTTTTAGATGTAATAATGATAATGGCAAAATAGTGGTAAATCTGAGGAAATACATTTTTGACTATTTCATCTGGCATGTACTCCTCCACCATGACTGTGGTTTAAAAATATATTTTAGGCAAAAATGACGGGCAACATATTCGCTATCGTTTCATGTCATAACTTTCTGTGAGGTAGCTTTCAGAAGCATTAAATGCTTGGGATGTCTGGATCATATCACCACCACAGTGAATAAATTCTGATTAGGTAAGTTTCTCTAGAAAGGAACATTTCACATCAAACCACTCTGTATGACTTTGTTTACATCTAAACCATTTACTTATGCAGAAAGTATGAGAAATTGAAGGAATTCCCCTTTAAATATTTTGGATGTCTGGTTCCCATCACTGTCATTTTAAATAATTCTGACAGATTCTGATTTCATGTCAATGACTCATAAGCCCAATCACTCCAATAAATAAATAAATAAATAAATAAATAAATAAAATCACTCTCATTGATAAGCACCCCCAAACACACGGCCCCACCCACATATGTTCACATCTACAAGTGAGACTGATTGATCAATTGCAGATTGTAGAGACCTCATTTATTGAGGTATGTTTCAGTTTTAGCTCAGTGAGGTTTTCTTAACACTTTAATATTGATATTTTACCAGAACAGGTCACATAAGAAAGCTGTCTGCTGTTGTAGTGTCAATGCAAAATATCACAGGGGCAATAAACAAATAAACTGTACACACTTAAAAAAGATGGTTCTACAAGGCCTCTTTAGTAAAGGCAATGGTTCTACTTAGAATAATAAGATATATGTAGAAACATTTCACGCTTTAATGGTTCTATGCATGGTCAAATGCTTCTTCAGATTGACAGAGAATGTGTTGTGTATGGTTTTATGTAGCACCAAAAAGCGTTCTTCTATTGTTAGAAGCTTGACATTGTAACAATAGCAGAACCCTTTTTGGTGCTATACAGAACCAATTTCCAAAGGTTCTATATAGAACCATATACAACACATTCTCCATTCATCTGAAGAATCATTTCATCACCATTTACTCTCTATAGAACCACTGCCTTTAGTAAAGACCCCTTGAAGAACCATCTTTTTAAACTGTGTATATAATGTGATCTCAGCATCATTTAAGACATTTTTAGAATATCACAAAATAAAGTCTCCCGAATGGGAACCAATGGCGATGCAACAGATCTGAGGCAGACAGAGCTGCTTCACTGGCCTTTGTTTGCTGGCTTGTCATATTGGCTCATGTTGCAAACACAAGAGGGCGTGTTTGTGTCTCTCCACAGCTTCATGCCCCACAGCTCCTAGGCAATTCTGCAGCCTCATCCCAGTCAAGTGCATCACCCTGTCCTTTCAGGCCACGCGGAGAAAACGCTTTTAAATTAGTCCAGGCACATAAACCCAGCCGTCTAACAGACAGGAACGATAAGCGTTTCATTTATTCTTGATTTTTGAGGTCTGCGCTGAATTAAAAGAAGAAGTTCATCTGAGGGTTTGTGAGTCAGGATGAAGTCATGCCACCTTGTCACGGACAGCAAAAAATACCCAGTATTGAAATAACACCTCCAGCGTTCGTTCAAGTCAAGCTGGACACCGTCTGTGCTCTGGCAGAGTCAGTTCCGCGCTGGGGGTCGCGGGTTTCTCCGTTTCCAACATCTAGCGTGTTTTATTCTATTCTCCATTTAACTTGGCCGCTGGTCTAACAGGGCGAGCAGTGCTGGCAACTCTGCTCTCTTTTGCGCCCG